TGCTCCCCTGCTAAAAGTTTTTAACTTTTAGTGGTTCAATGGAAAACCCATTAGTTGGCAAAAAGTTAAAGTCCTAACAGCCCTTGGCAAAATGCACCAAAGGGGATGTCGCCAGACTTCGGGGGAGAACGAGTTGTTGAAGGAAAACCAGTTGTTGAAGGAAAACCGTAAAGGGCAACAACCAACAGGAGGGGTTCTTTCTTGTGGCCCTTGCACGCATACATTTAATAATTACATGCGTATATAGTATTTACTACGTATATCTATGTATTCTAGAGAGAGAGAGAGACTCGTAGGTGTATATATATATATATATAAATATACACATACCTGAATCTTCAGGTGTGCCTTTTTCCCGCCGTTTGCTGAAAAAGCACAAATTTCCGTCCTTTGGCCGCAAATACGCTTTTTCACTGCAAACGTGCCGTTTCAAGTTTGGCTGAACACATGGTCGGGGAAAGTCGCCGTTTGGTCGGGTATTGTCGCCGTTTGGTCGGGTATTGTCGCCGTTTCGCCTTCGTGGATTTGTCCCAGAAGAGCAACAAAGTGAGAAGTGCCTGGAGACACAAAAAAGTGTTGTTTGTCTGAAAAAGCAGCTTTTCACGAAAAGGCATGAAAAATACACGCTTGGGAAGATCCAGGTATCTATTCACATATGCGCCTAGAGATACATTGATTTGATCTACTACACTCCCGCAAGGCTGACAAACATTTGATCCGCTTTAGGATCTTCTCCATGTTCAAGGCTTCCAAGAAGTCCTCGATATTCGACGACTCCATCCATGTGTGCTATGTGTGTCTGGCATACGAAGCCGGTACAAGCGCCGGTCTATCTACAGGAGAAGCCCATATGCATGTATAAATGTTGGAAGAAGCAACACCTCATTCAAAGACTCACACTCCATGAATACATGGTGTCTCTGCCTCATCGATGCATTCATAGGAAATATAAATATATCTTTGCATCATAGGTCTTATACTCCAATGGGAAGGGATTAGACAGTGCAAATGGCCTGCAAAAATCATGGACCCTGAGTAGCCTGGTCTGGTTAGCTCCGCAAACAAAAGTAATGTTGATCCCAAATGAAATAACCTGGCAGAGCAGGGGGGGCATTGCTGCGAAAGTGATGGATTTCTTCCTCCATTGACTAAGCAGGGTTTAGTACCAAGGGTTGGCCGGAATCGACGCAACGGTGACCCGATTTGTTCTGAGGCCTTTGAAAGTAAAGTACCCCCGTAGGAATTGTGACTCTGCTCTCGAATTCCCATTCGCTGACCTCTTCAGGACCCGGAAATTGGGGAACTTGACAAACAGCCGGCATTCGGAGACTCGCTTTCCCGGGCCGCGGCCTGCAAAACAAAGATGTTGTGGTTGCGTTGAGGGTAGACCCACAGGTCCAAAGGCAGATGTTCTTGTCTCTTACGTCTCTCCCCAAAAAATCAACTCATGAAAACATGGCCCGAACAGGAACAATTTGGAAATCCAGACTTCTGTCAACCCAAAAAGCAATTCCAAAGAGGGTGTGGAGAGTCTACAACTCCAAGGTTCCCCATCTGGCCTCCAGCTTCCGAGCTCACTCCCACGCGAATTTCTCATCGTCTTCCTGGCGGAGTATGTCTTGAAAAAGGCAAGATTGCACGGTTCGGAAAAGGAGTTTTCTTTGTTTTTTTGACATTGGCCACATGTCCCTCCCGGGGTTCCTTAGCGCGAATGTCGGTGATGTACTGCCGTAAGATGCTTGAGTCTTCAACAACTGATGACCATTGTTCTGATATCGCATGATATCGCCCTTCGTGCCAACGTCAAAAGCCACAAGCCATCCCCTTTACAAGTTTAATCGGATGCAACTCGTTCTAATGCGGTCCCCACATGTTCTGTGCATATCCAAACATTCCCGGCTTTTTTTCTCACGCACACTCAAGCGATCCCACGGGCTACAGCTTGCATCATGGCAGCTTGGAATAGATCGGCTCGGCGAAGCCATCTGGCCTGCAGGAGGCTGGGGGAAGAACCCTTTTCCTAGTTCTGTCCTTGTCTGAGTTGTTAGATTTTTAGAAGAACTCTGAGAACCCTTCTTGCAGTAGGCGGGCTAGTGTTGGGTCCATCTGCGACAAGTTTCAGCTGACAAAACAGCGCCAGCTACACGCATATCAGCCGCCTGCGTTGGAGCATGGTCACGGAGTTCTGGAACTTCTTGTGCGGCCTTGAGACAAGGCTGGTTAACGCTGGATAAAGGAACCCGTGTAGAAAGCCGCAAAGCGGATGCGAGCCTCAAGAAAAACATATCCATTAAACACTCCTGTGTGGATCTTGGAGGACACTCGCCCAACATTGGGCAAAGACTCAGGGACTGGGGACAGGCAGATTGTCACGGCTCTTAACTCGTGCCCAAGTCCTTTCTGCTCCCCAAACTCCTTCTCCCTGCCTTCCCCAGCTTATTAGTTTCTCTGACGATGTCACCGGGTGAAACTTGCCGAATCGACTCCTCGAAAGGTTTGGGGGCTTTTCAGGTTTTTCGGCACCAAGACAAGCTGCCGAGTTCCTCTCCCTTCGAACGATCCACAAAAGTCCACCAGCTCCACAAGATCGGAAGAGAACAAAGGAACGACCAATTCCCGATCGCCGAGAGGCTCCAAAAGGCTCAGGACAGCTCCGGGCGGGCCCCAGGGGGAAGCTTCCACCTCGCGAGAGCGAGAGCTCAAGTCGACATACCCATAGAAGAAACTGCAAACTTCGCATGGGAATATATTTTTGACATTGCATTTAATACCTACCCTACCCACGTTGCCAATGACGAAAGGTCTCGTCAAAAGGAATCCTCCCAAAGATGGGAGGCAGGGTCTAGGATTCCTTGGGCTTGCGATTCAAAATCGAATCAGGCGAGTCGGAGATGGGTGCTTGCACCGTTTTCCTCTGAAAGGGCGATTTGCAGGTTCCACGTGGATCTTCAAATTCATGGCGAGTTGCACCCGTGAAGGCTCCCAGCATGTCCCAGCAAAAAACACGATAGCGGGTGGTTGGCTTTTGGCATTCCTTTTCTTTTAAAAGAAACGCGGAAGGAGATCGCCTATTGGACAGACCCATATGAAGATAATTCGCAAAAGGGCTATGTTTAGACCCTTTTGTGCCCCCATTTGGAGAGGACATGCATGTGCACCAGCGTCTACCATTGGGACACTGTCACCGTGAACTTTCTGAATAGCCTTCCAAGGCTGCTTGACTCTCTCCGAAGTTCATTGCCCTGCCGCCATTCTTTATCCCCCCGACAACAGAACCAGGAGCTTGCCTTCTTGCTCATAGGTCCAACAGAAACCATCTACTTCAGCTGGTGTCCACCAATAATCAAAAGACAGAAGCAATCACAAACACTCCTGACCCTCGTTTGGGGAAGATTCCAGGACTTCTGGTAGTGTGCCATCCTCAATTTAAGGTACCCTTAGTAGTGTGAAAACCTACAGAATCATTTGATTGAATGTACCTCAAGCGCAGCCACACAACCACGAAACTGAATTCACCGGAGATCTAGGATGATCTAGATATTCAAGCAATTCTCCATCCCTTCTAGTCTCCCTTGAGTGACAACCCAACATTGACCCTAAGGGTCCAAGTACCCTGTAAGCCAGCCAGTAGTTCGACCCTGTTTGCCCCTAGTTACTAGTACTTGGACCCTTGGCATGTGGCTTAGATCGTTTTCCAACATAAACAATCAAAAAACAACGGGGTGCCCTTCTCCGGAGCACCTCACAGCTGGCATGTGAGACAGTCAAAATGACTTGTTTTCCAAAATTTGAAACGCTGCATGACTCTCAACGAGCCATCTGCCATTCATTTTGACCGGACCAGTCCCTGTTTTGCTTGGCGGAAACTTCCACATGTCTCGGGCCCCTGGCATTGTCAAGCCAGGCGCGGACCGAGGAGTTGGTCAACGTGCTGTGGAGCCTCGAATTGGCTTTCCCTATGGAAGGAATTGCGCATAGGAAGGGTTCGACATACACCCATGTTGTTGGAAATGTGTAAAATAAAGAGGCGTAAGCACCGATGTTGACACTGATTGTGGGCTTTCCTTCCAAACCCAAGAGTATCCGCAGCCTCCAGTTGCGACATCTTGCACGTTTTTTTTGTGGGCAGGATTGCTACACTTAGTCCTGGCTTAGGGCCATGTTGTGGTGTTCTTTGCAAATCATGTCGTCAACATCCGACAAGCATGAGCTTTGGGACGACGAAACAAGCTGCGCACGGCCAGGCTAAACGAGCCATGGTGCCCCGGAAGACAACAACCAGACCAACCGCTGCGTTTCAACAATGTGCTCGAACGAAAACAAACCCTAGGCACCTTTGTTGGTTCATTTGGACGAGGAAACTCGTTGTTTGGACTGTCCCGCAGCACAAAGCCAAACCTCCAGGCAAGGCTCAAAACGAAGCCGCCAGGCGTCACTCGCGGCCAAAGCGTGGCCAGGAAACTGTCGATGCTCGCCTAGTCTCGGGTAATAATTTTGTTACCCGCCGGGGTGGAAAGAAAGCGACATGTCCACCAGCCACCCCAAATATGCCTGTAAAATGACCCCAAACGAGCTCAATTGACAAACCATGTCATATTGGGGGGGGGATTGAGAGTTATAGGTTAATGTACTGATACAGCATCCTTCTGGGGGAAGTGAACGTACTCGACTGGGCTGAGGTCGCAGGTCGCCATATGAGAATGCGATACAACTCAATGAGCAGTGCCAACACTCAATGATGGTCCATTCACAACGTGAGCACCACCATGATCTTTTATCAAGTGCGTAGTAGAACCCATTCTGACATGGCTGGCGACAGGTTCGAGGGGAGCAGCTCAATGATAAGCAGCCAACTCTGGAAGGACCTCGCCATGCTCATCCAGGCTGTCACTTCTCGTAGCCCCCTCCAAATTAAAGAATCAAAGGGCACTTTAACAGGGGCTTGAAAAGCGGGCATGTCCTTTGACTAGCTGGGTCAAAAAGCGCCCAAGCCTCAATGCTCAGTGCGGCGCCCGCACGTCACCCTTCTTGGGCGGAGCAAAGTCTAGCAATCCGTCCTGCGCCATGTGGTCGGCGGACAGCAACCCCGGTTGCAACCTGTTATTTTGGTCGAACAGAACCTTTTATGTTGTTCTTTTTGTTGGGAGGGTGACCACCTTGTCTGTCTGGAACTGCGACACCTGCAGGAAAACAAGTACCACTGAACAACTATAGCAGAATCCTCTGCTCGGTCTGCCATAGAGACCAAACTTCATGACGGCGGTGGAGCAAGGCCCATGTAGCGAACAATCCCGGTCGTAGGGGCTCAACTAGCCCAGAACACGGGAAGCTGACATCCATGTTTGATGCTCATGAGAGTCGCCTCGCGTTCTCATGAACTTTCTCCCTATCGAAACAAAGGCAACTTGCAAACCTCAGCTTCCCTGATTGCTGGAAACCGAATACTATTTCTTCAGTCATACTACTTCAAGGCACAATTACAATGTATGAGCCTAACCATGAGGCAACAAGTGACCTGCTGTAGTGACCCGCTGTGGAGGTGTATCAAGCTTGGTGCCTGTGGAAAACGGGGGGAGCAATGTCTTGACCAAGCAAACCATTGGATGAACTCTTATTGTATAGCCAAAAGGTGAGTCTAACATGCCATTTAGATGCATGCCACGTCATCTGCATCTGGTTTCTACTCAATGGGCAAACACACATCCGGACCTCGAGTGACTCCGACAATCATTCTGTCTGCTTCGAACAACCCTGAATTTGACAAGGCTCATGGTCCCCCTAGGCTTTCAAAGGCCATTAAAAGAATAGTCGAGGTCGCTAGGCTGTTTTTTGCCGAAAGACCTTTTTTTGCGCCTGGCCCTGAATACTCAAAAACATCATGTTTTTGTTGCCCAAGAATTGCTTAGGGCCAGGTCACTGAAAGTCACGCCGCCCTCATCCTCCCAGCTGCAAATGACTGCACCCAAGCCACTCATTCCGGCTTGCCAAATGTATGGTCGCATCACTTTTCAAAATCGCCAGGTGTCCCGCCTACCGTATATGCGTGCATAGATTCTTCGCATGTTGGTACTGCCGTCCGGCTAATTGAAAAATGCTGCAAACTTAGTGGCTTCGGGGCATCGCTGCCGATCAAACATGCGTTGTGGGCTCCTGGGGGTATGGTTGTCCACGCTTTTAAATGTACTTTCCACGGGTTTAAATGTACTTTCCACGGTTTGTCCATGGTTTGTCCACGCCTCATTTTCTTTCGAAATTGATTGAAGAATCAACAAACAACACGCGATCAGACTCTGTGGAGCTGTGGACGAGAAGTGGAAAAGCACGCACGGGCATGTGAGGGACAAGCCAAATTGACACAGCATGGTGACGGCGTGTGATTATAACGAGATGAAGCGACTTTAAAACATACTTAGCTTATTGCATAAAAGGCAGCAATAAAGCTCTTCAACCTCGCACTGCACGAAAGCACGCGGGGATGTCAGGAGCCAACCGTCTAGTTGGCCAAGTTTGTCTAGACCTACTTTTAATGGTCGAGGGACATTACTTTTATAGCCTTTTGCTTTTTAAATGGTTGAGGCTATTTAAAGAATAGTCGAGGAAGCATAGGGGTCCTGTTGCGCCAAGCAAGCACGGTGGATGCAGGACGGTCCGAGGCTATGGAAATAATGCATGCTCGCATGTTTGCACGATCGAATCGAATACTCGTGTGCAGAGCCCAAGCACCAAACATTCGAACCTTGTGCCAGGTCGCAAACGGAGCTTTCAAAGCCAAGCCCATCGCCCTTTGCCCAGAAACGCTGTCGGGTCCCCCCGGTCCAGCCACACAAAGTCAAAGTGTGGCACCAGCTCAGAGGATTCCTCCAAGAAGGCCCGACCATCATCCAGGTGCAGCCTCTCCGGGAAAACTAAAAGTCGCCCCCCTCTCGGAAGACGTGGCCCAACAAGACAGTGAAAAGAACATGTGTTTGCCTGATCATGCCTTGATATGGAACCTGACCAGGAAGCCGAGGAGAGATCCTGATCAGGAAGCCGAGGAGAGATCCTCTGGTGGGTTCTGTGCTAGAGGACTGACCAATTGTCATTACAGACTTCGCAGGCCCCTTTTCGAGCATCCCCCATCTCAAACTCCTTGATTCCCGTGAAAGTTGTTTTTTGCTCCATGGACTGGTTTTGCCAAGATTTCTCATGGATCGTACGTAGACTCTGTTTTGCAGAAGCCCTCAACCGGTGAAGAAAAAGCAAAAATGCTTTGCAGACCCCTGAGAACCCGAACCAGGGCTGCTTTAGCAGCCCCTCTCTTCAGATGCATAAAAGACCCAGAATCGATCAGATCTCTCAACCCAAAGGGATCCCTCATCAGCTTCCCAACAATCATAGCTGACAGGAGGGCTTCAGAAGACCACATTCCGTTTGGAATGTAAACACATCGTCCATGATTGTTGTGAACTGGGCTGTTCCCTTGAGCTGTGTTGCCAAATGCCAGTCCCAAACATGTTGTTGGCAACTCCAGGAGCACCTGGAGTGGGCCAAGCGGCCCCTCTCACATGGAGAAAAGCACCCTTTCAACAAACCTGTCTGTGACAAAGTGGTTGACTCCCATGACTTTATCACTTTGCAGGTCATTCGCGTGGTGCAGAAAGAGAATGCCCGGAGGCTCAACTTTCCACAGCCAGGGC